AAATTAATCAAACACATTTTAACGAGGTGCATGACCTCATGACTGTTCTCTTGGGTTCTAATCACACCATTGTAAGATTTATTCAAACACTAGTAAAAAGGAAAATTATTCCAGCAAATCAACCGTTTATTTTGTTTTTCAAACACCGTTACGAAAAGGTGCGTTAAGAAATTTACAACGAAGTAGTCTTTTTGGAATGCCCTTGCCCTGGTTATGAGGAAAACTGGTACAACATGGTACACTAGACTAAGCAGTCACAAGTTAGAACCATACGCAAGACACCACTCATCCGAGTCCTAATTGCTGGTCGCACCACTTATTACTAACTGTTTCTTATTCGTCGTTAATTTTTTTTGACTGTTTATCCTTATTGAAGGCCATTCAAATGTGCGCAGACAGGAGATTGGCTAAACTCGGCGTGGTCATATATGTCTGCGCCATAGTTCAGCTCTGCACCTTCGTTTTCGTCTAGCCCGAGCCCTAGTATGAAGAAGACTGGTACAACAGAGCAGGCTTTATTGGCCAATCAAGCCAGAGCCACACGTCAGGCACTGTCAATCTGAGTCCACCACGCTGGCTGCGCCGCTCATTATATACTGCTTCTCATAAGTGTCTGTCTCTGGTTGGCTGTATATCTTCCTTGCTTGCCACTGAATCACAAAGAGACAAAGGATTGGCTGAGGCTAGCGTAGTCCAATATGTCTGCACCCTTATACATCGATGCTGTAGAATACCCGAGCCCTAATAGGCAAAAGGCCGGTACAACAAAACAGGCTTTATTGACCAATCAGAAGCCAGAGCCACGCGTTAGGCGCCTTCCATCCGAGTCCACCACGCTGGCCCCGCCACCCATTTTATACTGCTCCTCAGTCGTGTCCTTCTCTGGTTGGCTGCTTATCTTCCTCGAATGCCATTGGAACACAGAGAGACACAGGATTGGCTGCGGCCAGGTGTTCTAACATGTCTGCGTCCTAATCCGACGCCACAATGCAAAGTTTCCTTTGTTTCTCATCCATTTTAATTAGTGGATTTGAACTCAACCATGTGTGAAAATTTGACATCGCCTCAGTCCATTAATAAATTTATTCAACTTCATTTATTTTTATAAATTCAACATTTGATGTCTGCATAATGGCTCGTCTCCATGTTCAAGTTATTGAAAAGATTTAAACGGTCCTGTTCAAATTACCAATCTAGAAAAACCATGGAACACAGTCTCTCAGTGTTACTGAGGCCATAGTATAACAGCAGAAATCATTGAAATAACAGTTTCTATGATATCATCAAACTAAATCACCCAACTTCAATTAGGAATGCTCATGTACTGAATACATGTGCACTTCATAAGTGGCATAAAATGCGTAACAAAAGAAAAACATTTTGCGTGAATGTGTGCAAAAGTTAGAACTTTACAAACCTACAGGGAAGAATGTGAACACATTTGATGACAAGAAGCAAAAGTGAGTTACGGAATAATATCCGGAAATCGATCAGCCACTGGCTAATGCTACACGTGACCCTTCCGTGACCTCAGCATTGTATTGATTTTACAGCACATGTGTGCTCCAGCGGGAAGCAGGCGTGCTACCTAAAACTAAGTTACTTTCCCCAAAAAACACTAAAATGCAAGGTCAACGTCATACAGAAGGTAAAGAAATGATTCGTATCCAAGGCTGCTACATGTACATGATCAACAGTTGTGGTTCAGTGGGTGCCTTTCTTGGGTTCAAGACGCTCACCATTTACGTGCCAGAGTGTGTTCACGATAGACACCCACTCCATGCCTTCCTGAAAGTCTCACGCTGGTTTTACCCTCTGGCCAGATCTTTTTCACCCATCTACTGTTGGGGTCCTGATAAGATGATCCTCCCAGAGCCTTTTTCGCGAGTCGACAAACCGGCATACATCATTATTAGACTGCCTTACGCCTGTTCAGATTTCCAGAAGTCTACTCTGTGGAACCTACTTGACATGCATGGCCACGTTCGAGGCAAATTTTGTTCTATATCCAAAAAAGAAAGAGAAGCCATTGAAAAGCGGTATTTCCTTACAGAAATGGTTCCCCTTGACGACGACGCCCTTTCTAAGGCTCCGCACATCAAAAACGCCCCCGACGTCAAGGTCCTTTCACCACTGAAGTTCCCCGCTCTCGGATACAAGGGCAAACCATTTATTACCCTTCCAGCCAAATTATCTGTAGCTCTTCGTATTCCCGAAATGACCAAATTGGCGAAGAGATTTAACGTTCCGAATGACCAGAATAAGTGTCGGTGTCAGGTGGATGTTGGAGCTAAAGCGACTCTTCCATCATACATGAAGCAAGCGCCAATCGATCCTAGAGTAGTTAAAATAAAAGAGGAAACACACGCTGGGGGAATTCCTGACAATTGGGTGTCTCTTCCCAATAACTTCGGCAATATTCTGCGCCAATACCTCATCGGCCCAAGAGACTGGCAACACATAAGAGTTACAACAATACCCGCTCCCGTCGGTATTCATGACTTGATCCACTTTGCTGTAAGGGACGTCTACAAGGAGTTGGTGAGACAGCGTTCAGAAAAAGAGCACCTTGGGATTCCGCCATCCTTCCATAGGCAGGATAGGAGGCTCTTGTGTGGGTATAACAGGGCCGAGTCCTTAGGACTCTTTGGCATAGAGCCGGATCCACCCCTTCCTCGCATTTACCGTGGAATAAACCGGCTCCCACAAACCCTCGGTCTAGGACCGCCGTTTGACGAGGCCTTCAAGCGTCAGTACCTTGAAGGAGCGGCCGCATTTTTCGACATGATGGTCGAGAGATCCAAACTCCTTCTGCTCAGACTAGAACCTGATGACGAGGATGTGGAGAAGATAGATAAATGCGATTTGACCAGTACCTTGACCCCACGACCAATCATGGTCTGTTTTAAGAAAAACGATGTCAAATTCGGCACCCTCATGACACTTCCCGCAGTTAATGCCAACGAAATCATCTACTTCCACACCACAAACTACTTTGAGCGAGTGCTTGAGGAGTGCGAACACCACTATCCAAAACTGCGACCTATTAATCCCTATCTGGACCCGGCATTCACGTACTCCCGTTACATTCCAAGGTACATCATTCCGAATGCAAAGGCACAATGAGGTTTGTACCAAATTTGCTTTAGGTTTATTATCTGCTCGAATCAGTGAAAATGCACTATTTGGGAAACAAGAGCCTCCAAGTAACGTTTGAAACATGGCATAGCATAAAACGCCAAAAAGGCTTATCAAGCAATTTGCAGGTCCTCATTAAAAAGTTCTATTTACCTTTGACTATACCGCTTCGATTAACTCAGACCTAATTAATCTGTCGGCAGGGTGCTCACTGTATTTATTCGAGAATCCTTAGTTGACATGGTGGTTTTTGCAAGACAAGCGTCAGAGACTAGCTTGTAACCACTTCTCCCAAACCGTCATCCTCAGGTGCCACAGCTCGAGGTAAGACTCAAGAACCAGGGTTTGAAAGTCAATCTATTTAGCGAGCGTGAGGTGTCAGCAGAACAGATTATACGGTAAGAGAAGCACTGCGTACTGCTGTTAAGACATTGCGTCAGGTTTGGCCGAATCTACAGCTTGTCAAGTCCGCAGTTCAATGGCTTGGCGCCTAACTACATAAACTGCAGCAACATTTCGATGTCCTTTTTAATAATAGCATTTGATTAAGGAAAAACTGATTTTGTGTGAGTTATTGGCAAGAAGATGCTTCACCGTAGCATAAGATTCACCACTAAAAGTAGTTAAATACACGCATTTTTAATTTAAAGACGTTTACACCGATTCACGAATAAGTACTCTTCTTGCAGATTCACTCGCAAGTTAAGTTACTACATTCCTAGGAATGCAATTTATGGTATTAAAAAAATGGATTTCGGTTTTCCTGTGGTAACATTTGACATTTAATGGGTCCAGTTTTGAGATAGAACATCACTTTCACTTTTTATTTGGGTTAAAAAGGCTAATCGGTTATAGGATTTCGCACTTAGCGGTAATCAACTTACTAAATTCATTACCAAGATAAAGCAAAGTTGATCGTCTTTATAAACGAAAGTCAACGTAAATGGAAAGACATTCAAGCCTGATTATTTAGTTCACTTTTTGAATGAAACGCTTACATGCAATGAAAGCTGCGTTGTCCAAAATCAAGGTTTAAGTGATCCAAACCAGTCCAGACCACGTCGGTAGCTGCTGAACTTCATCAAACAGAGATCGTGTTGTTTATTTGGTAATGCGTGGAAAAAAATCGGCGCCTTCTTTTCGGGTGCGTCCACATAACTGCGACCTTGCACCATCAAAGCGCCCTGTATTTCGTGGCTTTGACAGCCCTAAAAAAGAGATCAAAATCGTTCCCCTTTTTTGCCACATTAGGAACAGGAATTCACTTATCGTCGAGTTGCCACAAACGGTATAATTTTATTGATCATTGTTCAATCTCTGGACAAAAATTGATCATGATTATCAGTCTACAATACTAAAATGCATTAGTTTTTAACTTAATTTTCAGCACCGTAAACACGTTTATAGTTTCTCTTGCACAGCGCCCTCGGTGGCGTTCCATCTCTTCAAATGTGGCTTGCAAGCATTTGCATTTCTTAAATGTCATTGTAAATTTTAGTCAGTTAAACGCATCGACTCTTCGCCTGCTGACTATGGTGATGCTAAAACGACAAACATAACATTTTTACGAGGTCGAACACGAGAAGGGTGGTACAATGAAACCGCGGTGGTCTTCTCGGGGTAAAAGTTCTTTTCGCCGCTATAGCAGGTGGTCGCTTAAGTGTTAGCTGAGCCAGTCACCTACAATTACAGGTAAAGTCCACAATGTTAGGAATTTGCTTAATGGGTGGGTGGATACTGCCTTGAAGTTGGTATGGAACTCGAATGCACTCGTTATGTTTATAATGCCCCATTAATTCTTTACTGAACAGCTAAACCGAGCGTGTTTGCAAGGCCAAACTGTGGGGCCATTTGTATCCGGTGAGAAGTTTGCAGTGAAAAACAAACTACAAGTGCATGAGTCTAAAAAAGAACAAAAAATGGTCCAGAAATCAAGCAGCAAAACCATGTTAGAAGGGTATTGTGCTCTTAATAATAGCCTTCCAGTGGGATAAGGTTAGTGGGTAAAATTTCCAGACGTATCAATGATCGAAAGTCGATGAGTTGCGTGAATCATCCCTCCCGAATAACTGTCATTTAACACGAATAATTCAGTGGATTTTGTGACAAACAAACACAGAAAAAGTATGAAATCAACGAAAAAATAGTTTGTTAAAAATTTATTAATCGCGTTTGTGAATGCGTTTGGGCGTCAACTGTCATGCAAAATGGCTACGTCTTGTTAGTTAAAGTGACGACGAAACAGCTGTACAGAGCGTGTGGAAGTATACAACATTACAAAGCGTTGTACAAAACAAGAATTGGTATCACTAGGTCTTTGCATTCACAGGTACATGCTTTAATTTTTTAGTAATTTCCAGGCTCTGGTGCAAACCACAACGTCAATTAACAGTCTTTCGACTTACAAATAGACCGCGAAGCAAGCCATTTTACTTCATTTGATCGGGGTCTGGCACCAACTATATCCGCTTCCTTACTACTAAATAGGAGTCTGGTTAGAGGCTTGGTAATATTGATCCTGCATCTACCTGTGTTTAATCAACACAGGATTGACAAGAGAGATGGTGTTCGAAATTTCCATTGGCGGTGGTATTAAAGGGCAAAAGATTTGAAACCGTAGATCAAATAATAGAATTTAATGACTGACGCCAAAGCTAGGGAACTATGAAAAATTTAAAGGTTATGTTGAAATTCGTAGAACATCATGAATTAATGACTTCAGTTCGACTGTGAACGCGTGTTTAGGATTTGATATTTACTTTTTTGATGGAATTCCTAAAAAATCTTATCAATTTACGATCCTGAATACACGAAGTGAATAACGCATCTTCTTCCTCCTCACCCTTGAACCCTAATCCATCTTAAACCACTGAATACATTGTGCAAACGGCAGACTTGTTGACTGTCTACTTTATCATTGGCATTTCAAACACGACAGATATTCACTTATTTTAATCTAGAATCACTCTCCTCTGTTGTTTCCACATTACCGTCTTAACGTTTAATGTTAGCAGAGCCCTGATAAAAAATGGTCGCTGTCGCAAAAATGAAATTTACAGAGTGTGACCATTTCAATATTTCATTTTGAAATCCGAAATATTGCAACAGACCCTCCCAATCATCATAAGAATTTATTTTGGACTGTGAAGACGCTATTAAGGAAGTAAATTAAAAAACTTTAGTCTTGGGCAATAATCGTCAATTAAACAACAGCGTTTGATACAAAAGAGAATAAAGATGAGAATAGAGGGCCTTGATATCTGACTGATTCGTCAAGCCTCATTTTGGACTCGCGGAATCCTTGTTGGCTGAACATTGATCCTCACATTTAGGAGTCGATGAAGAAGGATTTTCACAACTCGTGTTTTTGGCATCATGCTGCTTTAAATTATTGAAATCCTTGTCCAGCTTTTCTTTGGTAGTACCTCTCACGTCGACGCCCAGAATGTTCTTACCCACACCAGGAGTAATGCTGGCAATTCTGTTCAGATCTCTAAGTGCTCCCGTGGTCAATTTATATGCCATTTCTCTAGAACTAAACATTAAAAGCAAGGCAGGGGTATTTAAATAAGGACAAATTAGGAGTTTTAAATATTTCAAAAACAGAATCGTGATTACAGCAAAATCATCTACGTAGACATGTAGTCAAGAATCAGCATGATAAGCATTAATGATTATGTGATTTTTTGCCCATCTAATTCAAAAGCTATGGCGAAATGTCATGAAAGAGGAATCTAGAAGCAACATACCAAACTTACACAAAACTTATAGCAAATGTATGTTAAAAAGAGATATCCAGTCTACATTTAGGTTGAGAATTGCGGATTCATCTGGCTTCAAATTACGCCTTCATTTGCTGACACATTCAACAGTCGTGACTGTAAACTAACATTAATACTAATTTTAGAACGCATAAACGAAATGAAGAGCTCTCGTTTAATTATGCATCCCAGAATTTTTATAGCCATACATTAAGGAAATATAAAACCGTAACAAAGTGATGTCGAAATTATTACATAAATGTACAAATCAACTAAATGCAAGATACATAGTTTTACGAAATGATAAAACAAGTGATATTACATTTGGAGTTCATAAGCCGTATGTCTTGGACTATTAAAATAAATGCCTTCATTGGAAACGAATTTATACCTTATTTAAAAACATTACTTATATTAAAACATATATACAAAGAAATTGGCATAAATCACAAATGATCAAAAAGAGATATCACCATACCCAAAACCAGTGGAAACAATTTAGTACAGAAGAACTACAACATTTTATATCCTTCGATGCTCACTAAAACGCACATCAAGGTCGATAATATAGGACAAAAATGCGGCAGTTATAGTCACAGTTAATAACTTTTATTTCCGAATTTATTCGTTAAATAAAGTTTATCATTACCAATATTTGATTCTTAATAAAAATTAACAAAAATTCACAACTGATCACATGACACGCATTATACTTGAGCAAAATTAACACCTATTGTCTTACTTATTCCCAAAAAACATAATCCAGTTAAAAATCAAATAGCTTTTTTTCTGCAAGCTATTACTACCTTTATACAAATTTATTCAACAACTTTGCTATTATCAAGACAGAAAAATGTACTAATACCTTCACGGCAACTACCAAGACAGCATTTACGTACACCTTAACCTTACGGATAGCCAAATTTATCCTTTGACAAATAAATAAATAAATAAAATAGCACCACAGTTAAGTAATGTAGGTTGGTTGAAAAAGTGTCCTCTGAAACAAATTACAACTCTGCTTTTTTAAAGTCACTTTGACGCAGCAGAATATCAAGTTTTCGGTTTATGTGGCAAATAGGCTTTCTGTCAATATGTGTAACCAAACTTTGACGGAAAGTATAATGAAATAGGCCATTTTTACACACCTTTTTGAAACCATTCCTTTTTATTTACTTTGATTCTAACTACAACAGATGGGAAATAATTAAATGTATACATATTGAA